TTTTTTTTTTTTTTAGAAAATATCAATTTTAAACGAATAAATACCACAGAAGTATATATTTATATATACTTTGCCACATAACATTGCAATAACAAGTGAAAATTAGTTAGTAACCAAAAAATGGACTTACTTGTGAGTGACAAGCCAGAAAGGCGGACATCATATCCGGCGGCAGCATGCCGTCGTGGACGGGCGGCGGCAAAAAGCCGGCAGCGGCACCCGGCATGACCGGCGGCATCATCCGGCCCATGATTCCCATACCCATGCCCATGGGTGGGCCCATCATGGACATTTGGGCCAGTGGCAATGACATCATCATGGATGACGACATGCTCATCCTACTTCTCATAAATTGGACTTCACCTTCAAGCTGTTTGAGGTACTCTATTACTTCATCCAACATCGATGCTTTATCCGTCTGTAAAAATATGTGATAACTAATTATTAAAACAACTAACGCGTAGCACATGCGACGCACGAGATGATATATTCTCTTAAAATATTAAACGTGTGAAATACTAAAATTAATATAATTTATATATATGTAACAAAACTAAATGGATCACAAAGAAGATAAAAAAAATTATAAATTATTGACCACTTTCTTTGTAAAGTAAAATTTGTGAAGCTTTGATATATTTGATTATTGATAGAAAAGTATGAATACTACATGCGTACGTTTGAGATAGATGAGAAGATTTACATAGAATAAATAAAATAAATATTGAGATGAATAAATATATTCTCTTGCCCACGGTGGGCAGTGTCCACTAGTTTGTTTTATATGAAAAACGTATTTTGAGAATACGTTTTTCAATTAAATTTAATTGAAAAACGTATTCTCAAAATACGTTTTTCATATAAAACAAACTAGTGGGCACTACCCACCGTGGGCAGGTGAGCGGGCCTGTTGAGATGAATATATAAAATAAATATTGACATGATGTGAGAGAATTAAGACGATTCATGACATAAATTGTTTAAAAGTTAGAATACAAGAGATTTCAAAAATTAGTAAAACAAATTTTGCTCTCTTGTAATTGATTTATCAATTTTACACATACAAATAAAAATTAATGCAAACCAAAATGTTATATGCAAATAAAATGAGATTTTTTTTTATCTAAGATTTGGTATATTGTCGGATTCTTTATAAATATTATTCTCTTATCTGCTACCTAACAAAATCTTAGGTAAAATTTCAAAAATGGTCCACTATGTTGGCCATTTTTCGAAAAAGGTCTATCATCTTGGACGTCATCAAGAATGGTCCACTAAGTTGCCAATTTAATCAAAATTCGTACAATACCCAACATAGTGTAATAAAAGTGATCAATTTTAGTTGTCATATTTAGTATACTATGTTGACTTTTGCACGAGTTTTGATTAAAATGACAACTTAATGAACCATTCTTGAAAACGCCCTATATGATGGACCATTTTCAGAAAATGGTCAACATAGTGTACTAAAAATGAAATTTAGCCCGAAATCCTATATCACATATGTAATAACTATCTAAAATATTGTATATTATGCTTGAAATATGTGTGATGTCACCTAAAATTTTTCTAGACTATTTTATAAGGAAAACATGTCTAAATACTTAAATTTAACTTATTTTTATATAGATCTACCTCCTTAATCTAAAGATTGGGTAAGAAAATATCTAAAATGTTCAAACGTATCTGAATATCATATGTGTTAACAATATTACAATGAAAAAACATTAAGAATACAAAGACTATTATATAACGTATGTAAAAGTATCAAAATGTTATATATTATTATTGAAAATGTGAAATTATCTAATTTTTTTCTAGACTATTTTATAAGAAAAATATATATATAAACACTTAAAGTTAACATCTATATATATTGCTTTAAGAATGCATAAAGAGTTTGCCCAAAGGCCCCAAACAACATGTGTAAAAGAAAAGTATATACAATATTATATATAAAAACATATTTAAAGTTTACATAGTTTACATAAAAATATTATATTCATCAAGCTAAATATTGCAAAGTCACTACGGATTACGTAACATACTTTGGCCTGTGTTAAAAGTAATTTGCCTCAAATCGATTGAGTTTGGGGTAAAATATTTTAATCTATTTACTTGGCATGTGATCGTGTATTCCGCCGTACTAATATGTTTTTTTAAGTGTGTTCAAATGCAGTATTTGAAGAAAGAAAACGGGTATGCAACATATATCAGAACGATTTTATAAAATAAGCCAAAAAAAAAAAAAATGGATAAGAGAGTTGTGCGATATTGAACTCTCAAATTTGAATGTGTGATCTAATTAGTTAAGTTTGTTGCCATTAATTAATCAGTCATAATTTAACAAAAAAAATTTGACAAACATGTGATAGACTGTAAATTAACAACGCAACAGATTTTTTTTTTCCTTAAAAAATAATTTTTTCGGCTGTCAAAATTGGGATAAGATGTATATTAAAATTTTCAAAGTCCTAACAATATTAAGATTCTTTAAAACACGAGGATAATTTTTTGCGAAATATGGAATATTAGGATTTTTGAAAAAACGTGAATAAATTTTTAGCAAAATATGGAATGATTTTGAATTTTTTAAAATTAACACAATTTTCAATTTTTTAAACAAACATAATTTCAAAATTTTTAAACAATTTTTATTAGTAAGTTAAAAGGGTTGACTCAATTTTTTTTATGAACTTTCCACAAATGATTTATTGACCCTCCTCTTTAGATTGAAAAACTATAGATACCCAAAATCGAACTACATGATGTGCAATTGTGGGAATATAATAATTAATATAATCTATACTTATATTAAAAGCTATACTATTTACTAAATGTAGTATGTGGAATAGTCAACTCTAATTAATGATTTGCTATTTTTATCAAGCATTTAATTAATGCATCTAATATTTTTGGTATGCAAATTAAATTAGCATTTAATTATTTCCTAAAATATTGGGTATGAAATATTAATTTAGAAATATCCATGTAGTTCCTAAAATGTTAGTATGCAATACGTAAAAGAAGATTTTTTAATTTTTTTAAATATAAAATATTGCAGCACGTAAAACTATTCCAGTTATTTTTTATTTTATTTTACATATAAAATCTAATCAATATTTAATGCATCCTACAAAATTGGATTTAGTTTAATTCTCCATACAATTGGCTGTAACTTTTCAGTTGTACTTTTTTTATTTATTTATTTTACACTTCTAAATTAATGAAGCTAGCTCTCTGAAAATACCAAATCAAATGATTTATGATTTTTTTTTTTTACAATTTTAAATCTATATAACCAACTTAAAAAACTCATCGCATAGATATGGACGAGTTTAAGAAATTTTCATAACCCAGCTTATAAAATTTCATCTCCACGAGTCAAAAAAATCACACCCATCATCTATTGTAACAACTTTAAAGGTAAATAAATAAAAGTCTAATTACTACTATAAATCCATTATCTATATAGATTTTTTAAAAATTTAAATTTCACATGTCTAATTACTAATATTTTAGATAATTTTAAATATTATTTGTATAATTTTTTTTACACATTTGCTCTCTCTATATATATACATATATGGAGGCTAAATGAAGAATTTTTAGACATATTTTCCTTACGGCTAGTTTAGAAAAATTTAGGTAGCTTCAAACATTATTTGTGAATAATATAGAAAATTTTAGATGCTTTTATAGATGTTATATAAAATATTTTAAGTATTTTTAATATTTATATATCACACTTAAAAAGAATAATTTGCCAAAATAAAAACATTAAATACACATTGTAAATGTTAATAGGAACATTTTTCAGTGTTCGTTTTTGATTTTTTCAAAACAAATCTCATAAAATCGGTGAAGTCAAAATTTGTACGTAAAGTCTATCTATACTAAAAAAATGTAGATTCAAAATTTTTTATCTAATTTCTTTTTTTTCTTTATCTAATTCCTTCTTATTATCTAATTGTATAGAAATATATTCTGATTTTGTTCAATCCTCTAATTGTATTTGTATTATATCCCATCAAATCGGTTTAACAAAAAAAAATCTCATAACATCCGCTAAGTAAAAAAAAGTACGTAAAATCTGTACTAAATAAAAAAGGGCTTTATTTATTATCTAATTTATTATCTAATTGTATGAAAATTTGTTCTGATTTTATAGTACGTACTACAAATTGTGCACCCGTGTTCAGGAGCTACTTAACGGGCAAACTATGTGGAAATAACTCATTTAGTGCTTTTGTCCCGTGCATACGGTATGTATTTGTATTACACATACTAGAAAATTGTGCACCCCGTGCATCACCCGTGTTCACATTTTGGCCTATTACAGGTCACGTACTATATATATCCCGTACATTTTTTTTTATTCATTTATATAATTATAAGACTTGATAAATGACCTTAATTTTGTGCACCCCGTACATCGCACGAGATCTGTACTAGTCATTACAAATAGTCTAAATAATTGATCATTTTAGATACTGCCGTTTATTCAAGGTTTCAATTATTAAGAAGTGAGAAAATTATTAAAAATAGATTCACCCATATGGCTTGTACACTTGTACTTTTCTCAAAAANNAAAAAAAAAAAAAAACAGCTCATGCGAAAATTTGGATGTGCCAATAATTAACTGTTAACATCTTCATAATACTTATGCATATATAATAACATTTATATAAATGGCAGCACTATATAATATTCAAATTAACATATATATATACTTGTACCAAAAAAAATAAAAAATAAAAAATTAACATATATACAATTGAAAATAGAATCAAATATAGTTCTTACACGATATTATTCTTTTAACCAATCCGCGGTATATAAATATTAGATTTTAAATTATAATAAAACAGTTTATTAGTTGGATAAATAAAAAAAAAATAAAATACGATATATATTACTTTTCGAGCAAGCATATTCAAGGGGCCTTTTCTTTTTACCTTGCTGGAGTTTGGGACCATCTTCTGCAACGTCTTCATCTTTTGATTGATTTTGTCTCTTCTTTTCTGAGAATGTAATAAATTTCATCAAATCATTCCAATTATATATATATATATGTGATTGTCCTTAAGTCTACGTAATTCATTTTGTGAACAAAAATATTATCAGATCTTGATTTTTAAAATTTTTGTAATAACTACACCATATATAAACTTAATTTATTTCTGGCAGATATGACCTTCGTTGTCCAATCAACATATAATCACACACACTCGTACAAATATGAATGGTTGGACGGTTAAAATGTGAATGGTCGAACTATCCGATTGCTCCATAACAAAACCGTATTCACCTCAGAAAGTCTATAGAACCAATATGGAATGATTCCCTTATGGAGCCATTTATACATTTATGTATTGACACGTGTCCAATATGTATTAATTGCAGGACACATGTCTGACACATTATTTGTGGAAAACTATAGATGATTTCATAACCCGAGTCATCCTATGGTTCAAGAGAAAAACTGATATTTACCTATTGACTTTTCAGTTTTTCAGACTTCAATTACACCAAAATCTATCAAAATTTGGAAACCATAAAAAAAAAAGGTTAAAACGTACCCTTTCTGAGCGGTTGTGAATTGCAGCCGCCCTACTCTTTGTAGAAACTGATAAGGTTTTTCCACTACACCCTTTTCTTTTGCGTTCATCCGCTTCATTTCTCTGTAATTATTTAACAAACATAAAATTAAATTTACAAGTCATGTCTAATATTTTATATATACACGAATGCAATATACGGCGATACAATTACATGCCTGTGATCTACTTTGACAAAAGGAGTCATGGTCCTCCAGCGAGGTCCTCGCACACGCTCCGCCGACGGAGCTGGTGTTCGCCGGCGAAAACTGGGAAGTGGACCTAGACGCTCTGCCCAGGAACTCCCTCTCGCTCCCGCACGTGGCGCTCTCGCTCGCCCCGCCGCATTTGCAGACCCTCGCACGCACCCCGCTGCACGAACCCACCCCGCATGTGCCGGTCCCCAGCTGGCTCTCGGCGTTTTTGTACGGGACGCTATTCGTGTTATTGTTACTATTACAGCTGGCGTTGTTGTTGCTGGGGACTATGGCGTCGGCGGCCACTGTAGCGGCGGCGTACTTGGTGGCCTGGTCGACTATGGACTCAAGGGTCCCTCCGGCATGTGGCCCATCCCAGACGGCAGTGTACTTCGCCGGCGCGACGGCGGATGGTGGCTTCGCGGCGGCCGGGCGGGCAGACGCCAGGCCGTTCATGCCCAGCTGCCCGTTTTTCCAGGTCAGCTCAGTCACTCCTTCATAGTCCAACCTTATAAGAACGACAATAACAACAACGCGAGCAATTAAAAAACATCACAAGAACATAAAATCGTAATTATGCACGTGAATTATATTACGAAAAGGATAATTACTTGGGAACTCGTATGGCCGTCTTCGAGTTAGGACTGACGTTATCGGCGATCTTAGGCGAGGCCGAGTTAGTTCCCATTACATCCCAACTCGGAACACACCAACTCATTGTGGCGATGCGATTTATGTGGGGGAGAAAACAGGAAAGTTAAAGAGAAACAGATTTGGTTGGATAGGGTTTATATGCTAACAAAAGAGGGAATAATATTTTGAGGTTGAATATTTTTTGTGGGTATAAGTAAATATATACTTGTGAGATTCATATCATATGGGGAGAGATAAGAACAAGGAAAGAGCAATAATGTGAAAGTGGGAGCAAAGCAGAGCAAATTGCATGGTCCAGTACTTATAACTGTTTTATTATTTTTAGGGTAAAAAAACATTTATTTTCATCTTTTTTTTTTAAAAATGAACTAGTATGAGTCCCGTGCATTGAACGGTTAAGTGATATTATATAATATTTAATAATTAAAATTTTTTATTAAGTAACATTTGTAAATTAAAAATATGGAATCAATATATAATACAATTACCTATACTAATTTATTAAAAATGTTGTATAAAGTATAAAGTTTAAATTGTACAAAATTATATAAGAATGTCTATTTAAAATTAGTATACAACCCGTGTGGTGCACATAACTGATAATAAATTATATTATATTCGTTTCAAAATAAGTATCATTTCAAAACTTTTATTCCGAAATTCAATTGACTATAAATGTGATTCTATAAAATAGTTATTTTGGTAAAATGTTATCATATGTTTAACAAACCTATAGCTATGTGAATAATAAGTATAAATATAAAATTCATATTGTTTCTGATATGGGATATCATACCCATTAGGTTGAACCGGTCTATTGACCGGTCGAGGAGGTCGTATTATGGGGAAGTCAAGGAAATCGAGCAGTTAACCAGTCGACCAAATAAAGCTGTCGACCAACTATCCTTCGACCAGATACATGATCGGGCAACTTATTCGACCTCAACAGGTCGACTACTTCGAGGACTTAACACCACGTTGATCGACCTAGTCACAGGCGCGTGAGAGAGCCTCTAACGGAATTTCAGGAGAATATTTACCCCATGTGCAGGGGGACACGTGTCGAGAAGGCAGTGGTGGATAGCGATAACCACCTCTGACAACCTACCCCATGTGCAGGAGGACACGCGTCCAAAGAGGATTGGTGCAGGTGATAGTGGCGACGGCTACCTCTGACACACGCGTTTGGTGTGTACGGACGGGCTGTTAGGGCAGACAGCTCATCAAATCCGGGCAGCCCTAGGTCAGGTATCTCACCCCTATATAAAGGGGGTGAGCCTTTCTTCTTCAACACGATCATTCTACTACTTACTCTTGAGAATTGATTGAACATACAGTGACTTAAGCTTCGGAGGCTCTTCACCGGAAAACCCCTCCGGTGTGAGAGTTCTTTGTAGGTGCACGACGTTCAACCGGCGAGAAGGAAGGCGATTATTCAAGTTCCAGCCGGTCGAGAAGTTTTGTGTTACCACTTGGCGCCGTCTGTGGGACCTTCGTTTGAAAAAGTGTTCTTGAAGCTCAGCTATGGCGGACGGAATTCCCAAAAACTTACAGTCAACGTTCGATGATGCTTGGACAACGACCAGGCCGTTGGGACAGGGTCCTCCCCCGGGTTTTTCTGGCCCATCGCAGACGCCGATCACTCTCGTACCTGTGCTCCAAGGTGTGGGGGTGGCAATGGCGATTCCCGGAGGAGACGTCGGCACCAACCGTGCTCACGAGGCCCGCGCAGCGGATGCGGCGGCGATGCCACCACCACCACCACAAAGCTCAACGGCAGCGCAACCAGGGGGAGTGGGAGTGCAACTGGGAGCGACGGTGGCGCAACCGGGAGGAACGGGGATGCAACCAGGAAGAGCGGTGGCCCAAGGAGGAGCACCGCCGCGAGCAGCGGTTCAGGTCCCCGACCAGCAGGTGATAATGACCAGGCAGGAGATGCAACAAATGGTGGCGGAGGCAGCTGCGCAAGCGGTTCAGAAAGTCACAAACAGTCTCTCTCGGGCTACAGCAACGCCGAACACTGTTGCAGGGTCACGCCAAAATGCGGAGGAGGATGAATCCAGCTATGGTGGAGGCGGGCCCACACATGACTGGGAGATGGAGAGGATGGCGGAACAGCTGCGCCAATTGCAGGCTAAGGTGGATGGTCGAGCGGAGAGGCGCGCTCGAGGACACCCGTTCCCGGCAGACATACTAGCAACACCCTTGCCAAATAATTACAAGGATACAAACTTGGTGTTCGATGGGACTTTTGATCCGTCGAGACACGTGAGAACATTTGAAAACATGGCTGTGTTGCACGGATATACTGACCCTGTTAGTTGCAGGGCCTTTTTATCGACCCTTAGGGAGGGGCGCTCGACTGGTTCCAACAGCTCCCCCCAGGCTCGATAGTGGACTTTGAGGATCTTGCGGAGAAGTTGACAAATCAATATTCGAGCGCGGTGGCTCAGGAGAAAACGTATTTGACATTGATGGCGATGAGACAAGGCGAGAAGGAGTCACTGCGTAAATATGTCGCTTGATACAATTAAGCTTGTTTGGAGATTCCATCAGCGGTCGACGAGGTCAAGGCGGGAGGATTGATAAGGAGTTTGCGGGCGGGACCGTGTCGGACTTCTCTGGCTAAGACTCCTGCTCACACGTATGATGAAGTATTAAGGAG